CCGCCCCTCGGGTGGCCCGGCCCCCGGCCGGCCGAGTGCCTACCGGCCCGCCGGTGCCAGGCCCCCTTGACCTCCTGGAAGCCGTCGCCGTCCGGCGCGCCGCCCGCGGCGGCCGGCGAGGGGGGCGCGCTGCCGCGCTCGGCCGTGCCGTCGGCGGCGGGCGCGCCAGGGCGACGCTGCAGGATGGCCGTGGGCCGCCCGCCAGCGCCGGCGCCTGCCGGCGGGCCGTGCGTGGGCGGCGCGGCGGCCGCCTTGGCGGCCGCCTCCTTCTCGGCGGCTTCCCTGGCGGCGATCCTCTCCTCCAGCTCCTTCAGCTTGGAGGCGGTGTCCGCCGGCCGCGCAGCGCCAAAGGGATTGGCGCGCGGGGCGCGGGCCTCCTGCGGGGCCGCGGGTGCGGCCTCCGCCGAGGTGGCCTGGCGCGGCTCCACGGGGGCTGGGCGGGGGTGGGGGCCATCCCTCACAGGCTCCACTGGTGGGGGGGAGGCGGGTGTGGGAGGGCGTGACTGCAGTGTCTCGGCTGCATGCTTTGCATTCAGGAGTGCAGTCTATGCGCTGCAACTGAAGATACGAGATGGGGGCCACGGGGACCCTTGCCGTGGCCAGCAGCGGCTCCAGACTCCACCGGGAACAGACCGTGGGGTTGCCGTCCCAGAGTACCCCGGGATCTCCTCAGCAAACTCTCGCTCACCCCCCCCAGCACAAGTCCCATGCCCCGCTGCGCCTCCCCTTGCTCACCTTCGCGGCGGGGTGCCCAGCGCTCCGCGTCCTCCCCAGGTCCCGCAGAGTAGCCATTGTCGCGCGGGGGGAAGCGGCTGTTGCGGTCGCGGTCGCCCATGCGCCTGCCGCCCGGGGGCGGCGCGCCATAGCGGTCGCCGGAGCCGGCGCCGCCGCCGCGGGGTGCGCCGTACCCGCCGTCGTTCCAGTGCCGGCCGCCGCCGCCGCCGCCGCCGCCGCGGCGGTCGTTGGGCCGCGCCTCTGCCAGGCTGACGGAGATGGGGCGGCGCATGAGCTCGGCGCCGTCGGCGGTCAGGGCCTCGGTCAGGTCCTGCACCGACCCAAACTCCACGAAGCAGCCCTTGGGCTTTTGCGTGTCGCGGTGACGCAGCAGGATGATGTCCCGGATCTCCAGGCCCTGGAAGAAGCGCTCGATGGCGTACTCATCCACCTCCCAGGGCAGGTTGCTGATATAGATCTTGTAGGGTGGACCGCTTGGGGTGGGCCTCGCAGCGGCGGCAGGGGCGCGTGGCGAGCGCGCCGCCTGGGGCGGGCCAGAGTGCGGAGGGCCCACCGTGGGCGCCTCCAGAGTCTCGCCGGCTGGTGTTGGGGGGAAGGGGGCGCAGGGGGCGGAGTCAGAGCGGGAGCAGGAATCGGGGGTTGGGGAGACTGAGCGCCGGTGGTGGCGTTGGCGACCGTCCCCGTGCCGGGGGTCGGAGACACAGCAGACGACATGGCGTGCGGACTGATCCCACATGTGGGCTGCATGCGTGCGATGGGCATGGTTCCGCCCACCGGACCCAGACCCGAGACCCAGCTTGGCTGCCAACGCTCCAACCTGAGCATCCTGCTCAGACCACCCCTTTAAACACGCCATACCCTGGATCAGGCGCTCCTCCTCCTCCTCCACCTCGTCCGCCCATGTGCCTGTGGGGCGAGTGGGGAGAGTCAGGCACCGGCCGGTGAGCCTGGCGGCAGGGGATGGGGGGTGTACCAAGCAGCTTTCGCAATACCCATGGGCACGCTGCTGTGTGTACTGATCCACCATGAGATACTCACTTGCAGTGGCAGTGCGAGGGAGGGCCCCGACCGGCTCAGCCATGCTGTCCGTGCTCGACTTGCCGTCAGGGGTGGGGCTCGCGGCGTTCACCGTCGCGTGCTGGCTGTCTTGCGCTTTCCTGAGCTGGAGGTTACAAATAAGATGGATGAGAGGGAGGGCGGGGGAGCCGACCTTGTCAGTGCGTCCCCAGGTATGGTGCCCTGCAGGGCGCCCTGCGATACTCAAGGACATCATTCCACCTTTCCACCCTGCCGTCGAACTCCTGTGCCCATGATGGGCCTGGTCTCCGCTTCATGCGCGTCGAAATGAGGATTTGAATGGTGGCATTAAACTGTGAGCCATCCCAGGAAGACCGGATTCAAGCCAAAAAATAATGGAGGGACACGCGAGCGCAAGCAAGTGAAGGTGAGGGATGGGAGAGGCTTGGATGGAGGATGAAGAGAAGGAGGAAGACCCAGCCTGCCGGAGACCACCCCCCCGAGGGAAGCAGTGGCCACGCCGGCGAGCTTAAACACCGTGATGGAGTATGTGGCATTGAAAATGCTGCTGCTGCCAAGCAAATACTTGAAGATATACGTGTCGAATGGGCGGTACCTCGACCGCCCTGGCTCCCAAGGTACCCAGACCATGCCTCCAGCGCGTTTCCACAAGGGGGGGTCCCTCTGACCCGCCCATCCATGAGCTCACCCCGAGCTCGGTCGCACGGAGGCCGCCAGCGCCGTCAGCGTGCTCAGGACCGCCCCGACCTTGGGCCGCGCCGCAGGCTGCGAAAATAGGCACCGCCCCATGACGTCCTGCGCGGAGTGAGAGGGCGAGGAGTGGGGTTGTGCTGGCACTCAGGGCCTGCTGAGGTTGGCAATCAGCCCCCCTGCGCCGCCACTTGGGTGCCCAGACTGGTGAGAGTGTTGCAATCTCCCTGCCAGACGCCTGGCAGCGGGGCGGCCACAGCTTGAGGCGGAGTCGCCCAGGGTCACCCCATGCCAGCGGCTCAGGAGCACCACTGCTTGCTTTCCCCTTTTCACCGCATCCCCCTCCCAAAGTACAACCTCGGTCTCCCTCACAACCCCCACCAAATCTCCCGCCCACCCCCACACCCCCACAGAATCTCCCGCGCCCCCCACCCCCACCACACCTTGAGGTCCTGGGGGATGGTCTCCGGCAGGAGGGCCAGCGCCGGGGTCCGGCCCTCCCTGCCCACCGTCTGCAGGATCTGGGGCGCCGTCAGGCCCTCCCAGGCGCTGCGCCCGGCGCACATCTCCCACAGCAGCACGCCCAGGGAGTAGACGTCGCCCTCCTCGGACAGCACCCCGCCCACCAGGACCTCGGGTGCCCAGTGAGCCACGGAGGCGACCGAGGCGCGGGCCAGGGCCCGGGTGCGGCCCTGGCCCCTCGCCACCAGCTCCGCCAGCCCGAAGGCGGACAGCTTGGCCACCCAGCGGCGCTGGTCCTGAGGCACGCTGGTCAGCAGGACGGCGGTGCCGGTGAGGTCGCCATGCAGCACGCCGCAGGCATGCAGGTACGACAGCGCGCCCGCGATCTGGAGTGATTGTGTGTGGGAGGGGGGAAGGGGGTCTGCGGAGGGAGGGGGAACTGTGCCCGGACCTGTGTGTGCCGTCTCCCACAGGTTGACTATCAAGGTCGGGAACTCAGGAAGGGAAAAGATCGACTTGTCGGACTGCACTCAAAACCCTCCTGCTCGGGCCGGGACAATTCGACGCCACCATGGGAGGGCCTCCTGTGCAGAAGTGCCCACCCCCTCATGTTCTCAGCCGCAAAACCCCACACCCGACATCCACGACCCTGCTGCACCAGTTCACCCCCATTGCCCCCACCCCCCGATAAAGCACCTCGCAGGCGGTCGCCACGATGCCCTGCAGGTCCGGAGTGTCGTCCGGCTTGAGCAGCATGCCACGCTCTATTGCGTCCTTCAGGTTGCCGCGGTTGCAGAAGCACTTGACGATCCAGGTCTGGTGGTAGACGCGGTCCGGGTGGCGCGCAGCGCCGTTCTGATGCGAGAGAGGAGGTGGCGAGTGTGTGTGATGTTTCAAGTGCGGGCGGCGAGGCGAGGTGATGGCCCGATTGAGGGAACCAAGTGCTTCCGGGGTGCTTGAGGATAGACTGCCTGCCCTCCCTACACTTGTCGCTGCAAGACATGACAGCAGTCCCGCACGCACAGCACCCCCAGTCCTGACGACTGCGCGGCTTGGGCGCCTTGCACAACTGGCACGCACCCCGCCAGCTCCTGGCTGCCCTCGCAGGATAGCAGGGAAGAAAATTCCCCATACACCAAACCCTGAGGAAGCTCCCCTCTTCCTCACCTCTGCCCCACCAACTTCCTCCTCCTTCTCCTCCGAGGTGGTGCCGTAGACGTAGGTCCCCACCAGGTGGGGGTGTGCCAGGGCCCGGCTGAGTGCCGCCGCGAGGACGGGGTCCTCCGGCGCCGCCGCGCTCCGCCCTGAGGCCGTGGAATCCACGGACGCACGGCCTCGGTCCCCGCCGCCGGCGTCGCCCGCCCTGGACCACCACTCCACCACCTGCACGGCGACGCGGGAGCCGTGCCAGAGGCCGCGGTAGGTGCGGCCGCGCGAGCCCACGCCCAGCAGCGGCCCCAGGATGACCTCCTGCATGATCTTGGGTCGGTGCGCAATGAAGGAGGTCTGAGAGGCCAGGAGCGGAGCCGGGGCGTCCGCCTCGCCGGACTCCGGAGACCCCGCCTCGATCTGCTGCGCGGCGCCGGGGTCGCCGCCGCCGCCAGGAGTAGCGCCCGCGTCGACGCCTGGCGCGATCTCGAACACGCCAAAGTAGAGGAAGACGGAGGGATCGGCGAGGAAGGGGGAGGTCAGGGGGAGGAGCGCGATGGAGGCCGCGCTGGCCGCGGCCTCCAGCTGGCTCGCGCCGCCCCACCCGTGGCCGCCGGTGGCCGAGGAGCCCGAGGAGGAGGGGGTGGAGGCGTCGCGGGTCACCACCGGCGTTCCCTGCGTCAGGGAAAGGCCCGCCGCGTCGTCGCAGGAGGCGGGCCGGAAGGCGACGCGCAGCGGCCGCGGCGTGGCGCCCGGCCGGCTGCGGGCGGGGACGACGGTGAGCTCGAACTTGCGGCCGGCGGCGGCATCGGCCACGCCGTCAGCCGCCGCGCCGGCCTCACCCGGCGGGCTGGCGAAGAGCTGCCAGAAGCCCGCGTGCGTGCTCACGACATCGCCGGGCACGGCGCCCAGCTCAGCCGCCCCGGCCTCGTTCAGGTAGTGCAGCGGCCAGTGGCCCTGGCGCACGTTGAGCAGCATGATGCCGGTGTGGTAGACGTCCAGCGCGCGCAGCATGCGCCCGCGCCCCGCCGCGGCCTCGCGCAGCGCGGCGGCCTGCGCGGCAAACTGCCGGTCGCGCTCCAGCTCGCGGACCACGATGCCGCCAAAGTGGGCCAGCATGGCGTACTGGGAGGGGTCGAAGGAGCGCACGCGGTAGTCGATGGCGCAGAGCAGGCCGTAGCAGTGGCCCGAGGTGGGGGAGAGGAGGGGGGCGCCGGCGTAGAAGCGGATGTGGGGCTCGCCAGCGACGGCGGGGTGGTCGCGGAAGCGGCGGTCGCGGGACGCGTCCTCGACGACAAACACGCCGGGGGACTCCATGCCCCACTCACAGAAGGAGCCCTCGCGCTCCGCGCACGACGCAAAGTCGCCGGCGGCGGAGAAGAAGTGGACCTTCGTCTCTTCGACCAGGGAGACAGAGGCCACCGCCACGTCGAAGAGGGAGCGGATGAGGCCGGTGACCGCCTCGAAGCGCGGCTCGGGCACGGAAAAGTCCAGGCCCAGCGCGCGCAGTGCCTGCAGGCGCTGCCAGTCGTCGGAGGAGCGGGGGGGCCCCTGGCCGGGGGCCATCAGCGTCGTGGCTGGCCAGTTGGCGCCGGTGCTGGCCGTGCCGTGGGTGGTGTGGGAGGTGGGCAGCGAGCCGGTGGAGGCAAGGGCGGAGGAGGAGGAGGAGCGGGCGGAGGTGGCCAGCACGGGGATGGAGGGCAGGGGGCTAGGCTGGGAGGGCGGGACCAGGGGTGGGATGTCCTCCGGCACCGCCGAGCCGGGCAGGCTGTGGGCCTCGTCGATGGTCCGGAGCGAGGCATGCTCGGGCTTGACGGGGGTGGGGGGGCGGGGGGGCGGGGAGGCTTGCTCCAAACCCTCCACGGCCTGGCGTTGGGGGGTGGGGGAGGGTTGTTTTCTTGTGGGGCTGAAGCAGGGGTGCCGCACACAGCACAGCCGAGCACCGCAAAGCTCACGCGCGGGCAACATAAAAAACTCGCGTGATATGAATAAACAATGCAAGACTCCTGCCCCACCAAACCTGGTACCTTGGAGTGGCCGCAGCCCATTTGCGGCGAGCCGGGCTTAAGCTGGGCCGTACATGCCGGAGCTCCCGGCGGAACGTGCACTGACTGGCATGCACTGCCTTGGTTGTCCTTGCAGATTGCGATTGGCGCGCAGGGGGCTTGGGCCCCCTCGACGCGCGCTGCATGGCCCGGTCCCACAGCGGGCACGCTCCGCCCAGCTTCCATCACCGGTTTGAGATCTGTTCGCCCACGTGGGAATGCTTACCCACATGCTCCCTTTGAATTGCTCGACTAGCATGACAATGAATGCAGGGATGGAAGGAATCTTACAGGACAGTGCAACGAGGGCAGGAGTTTTGCATCAATTGGCGAGTCCCATGCACGCTTGCCACTGCCGGCCGCCACCCACCCGAGCGACCCTGTCCCCATCAGCAGCCATCTTGCCAGCGTCAAATGCGGGCGTCCAGGAGGCCGCAGGCCTTCAGCAAAAACGCGATCTCCACCGCGCGCTCCCTCAGGCGGTCAAACCGCCCCGACTGGCTGAAGTGCCCCGCCCCCATGTCGCACTTGAACAGCAGGAGCTTGCGTGGGTTGGTGCGCGCCGCGCGCAGCGCGGCCACAAACTTGGCCGGCTCCCAGTAGCCGACGCGGGGATCGTGCAGCCCTGCGGTGACCAGGATGTGCGGATAGTCGGCGGCGGCCACGTTGTCCGCTGGGCTGTAGGACTTCATGTAGTCGTAGTAGGCCGGTTCCCGCGGGTCGCCCCACTCCTCCCGCTCGATGACGGTGAGGGGGATGGAGGCGTCCAGCATGGTGGTCAGGCAGTCCACGAAGGGCACGCCCAGGATGGCGGCGTGGAAGAGGTCTGGGCGCGCGTTGAGCACGGCGCCCATGGTCAGCCCGCCCGCGGACCGCCCCTCGATGCAGAGGCGGTCGGCGCGGGTGTACCCTGCGGACACGAGGTGCTCCGCGCAGGCGATGAAGTCGCCGAAGGTGTTGCGCTTGGCCAGGTACTTGCCGGCCTCGTACCAGCGCCGCCCCATCTCGCCGCCGCCTCGCACGTGCGCGATGGCGAAGCCCACACCGCGATCCAGCAGCGACAGCCTCGTCGACCGGAAGTCGGGGTCGTTGCAAACCTCGTACGCGCCGTAGCCGTCCAGCAGGAAGGGGTCGGAGCCGTCGCGGCGCGCCAGGTCGGCGCGGTAGACCAGGGAGATGGGCACGCGAACGCCGTCGGGCGCGGCGGCCCACAGGCGTTCGGTCGTGTAGCGGGCGGGGTCGAAGCCGCCCAGCACAGGCTGCACTTTCTTTATTGCCCTGCGGGAGTCGGGTGGTGGGGGAGATGTGATTGGACGGTGGGGTGGGTGATGGGGGTGAGGCTTCAGCCAGGAGGTGAAGTGAAGGGCGTGCCTGCATCGAGGTATCACCTCAGCAGCAAGGTGGAACGGGGAGGGCAGCCGGCGCATGCACAGGTCGGCACCGGGAGTGCGAAGCACGAACGACCTCGGCCGAACAGTGGCGGCCGGGCAGCCGGTGGCATCCGCTCCTTGACAGAACCACATGTCGCCCACCCACCGTGCCCCCGTCTTCAGGTTGACGTCCATGGTGGTGGCGGGGGTCTTGAGCGAGCTGTACACCAGGCGGAGGAGGGGGGAGTCGAAGTCGCCCTGGGACCCTGGCCCAAGCTCGTAGGCCGGCTCGTCCAGGGTCACGGGCTCGCCTGCCCCCAGGGTCTCGGCCGTGGGCGGCGCCAGGCCCTCCGGCAGGCTGATGGGAGAGGGATGTGGCAGGAGGGGGGAGGTGGAGGGTTTGCAGGAGAGGGAGGACGGAGGTGCCACAGCACAGAGTCCTGGATACACGGGCACCGCAGGGGCTGCTGCCATGTATGCCACTCGGTCGGTCCCTCTCCTGCCCCCCCTCACCGATACACCACGGCCTGCTGGAGGCCCTCCCGCCGCTCAAAGGACACCAGGTGCCCCGCCGACAGGCTGATGCCCTCCAGCTTGACGTCGTCGCGGTGGGGGACCAACACGGCAAGGGCAGCGGGGTCGGCCAGGGGCGCGACCAGCACCTCCGAGTTGGGCCGCGCGGCGTCGCGCAGGGTGACGAACAGCGCGCCGCCGCGCGTGGTGACCGAGTACTCGGTCTCGTGCGCGCGCGGCAGCACCGCGCGCCAGTCGGCGGTGGGGTCGTCGGCGGGGAGCATGCGCACGTCGCTGGTCACCGCCGAGCCGGCGGAGATGAGGAGGTGGCGGTCGTCGCGCGTGCGCCCCACGCCCACATAGAATGCCTCGTCCGCCTCGTGGAACACGCAGGCGTCGAGGGCGGCGGGGGTGCCCACTCTGTGGCGCCAAACCTTGTATGGGCGGTCCAGGGCGTCCTTGGTCACGTAGAAGAGCGTGGCGTTGTCGTTGGCCCACACAAAGTTACCGGCGGTGTCCTTTGAAAGAGAGGGGGGAGGGGGGGGGGGGCGCACAGGGGTATCGATGGGCAGACAGGCCATGGACATGAGTGCGCAAGGCACCATCCGAGGGCGCAGGTGGCACCAGCAGGGCCACAACCACCACCTCCAGGCACTCCCGATGACCAGGCAGGCCAGGGTCAAACCAAAGCGTAAGCACACCCCTCAACCTCTCACCTGCACTGGCTCAGTGAGCAGCTCCCGCCCCGTCTTCAGGTCCTTGACATGCAGCGTGAACTTCTCGCCGCCCACGGTATCCACGGCGTAGGCCAGGAGCCTGGGATGGGCAGATGCAGAGGGGATGGTGAGAAGGAGGGAAGGACGAGATCTGGATGAAAAGCAGCACAAGGGGCAGGCGCTCTGCCATTCAGGCCACGACCCGTACGCATGCGCCAAGAACCCACCATCTCCCAAAATTAAGCCCAGCAACGCACTCGTGGTTGGGGGACACCTCGAAGCCGCCAACCATGTAGAAAGCGTGCGCCCGGGCCTCGGCATTCTCGTCCAGCAGGACCTCCTCCGGCTGGCTGGGGTCCAGGGCATCCGTCTCCGACGGCCGGGCGCCCGCGCCCGGCCCCAGCCGCCGCCGGCAGTGCACCGAGTACTGCTGGCCCTCCAGCGTCCGGCTGTAGTACTGGTACTGCCCGTACCTAATGGGGTGCGACCAGGGCAAGGTTGGAACAAAACCTCGCCTCAGGCCGGCGGCCGCAGCAGAGAAATGGGCAGGCGGCCTCCCCTCGGTCAGGCCATCCATTGCGCACAAACAGCCCCCCAGCCCGGACTGGCCTGGTGGGCACGCCCTCGTCCGCCTCCTGGATCCTGCCCCTCATCTCGGCGGTCAGCGCCTCCTGCAGCGCCTCCGTATCGGCCAGCATCGCCTTGGTGTACTCCGTCTCCGCCTGGCGACGACGAGGAAGGTGGGAGGGGGAGTGCACTGTCGTGTGAGGCAGGCATCAAGCCAGTCACTGTCATTGCGGCAACATGGATGTGCAGGGCTGTGAGCCCCTGCTCCTGCCCACGCTTCGCGCCCGCACCCCCGTCCCCCGCGGCGCACGCCTCGCCTGGAGGTGCGCCAGGACTCTGGGGTCGCTGCGATCGTCGTCCCGCAGCCAGTAGTAGTCGTCCACCCTCACGTCGCCGTGTGCCACCAGGCGGTGGGGTCGGCGCTCGGCCACGGGGGCGGTGAGCACCGCCTGGCGCAGGGGCTCCAGGCTGCCAGGAGCATCGCCTTGCGCACCCGCAGCCGCCGCCACCAGGTCGCGCTTGGCGGCGTCCTTGGTCCCTGGACGGGGCCAGTGCTGCAGTAGGTATCGCCTGTCGGACGAGGAGGCCAGGGTGCGGAGGAGGAGCCGATCACTGCCCCCGAACAGCCTCAGGTTGCCGTTCAGCAGCTTGTTCAGGCTGTAGTTGGGGTGCAGGCGCCTGGAGGAAGGTGGGGAGGGGAGGAGGCCTGATCCACCACATGGCATGCAGCCAGCTTAATGGCTACTTGAAGAACAAATACAAACACGAAGGCTTGCCGGCTGTCATCCATTTGCATTCCATGTGCCTCATTGGTGTGGCGAGCACGCACACCACGCGCACCTCGCAAGCAGATACCCCGCGGCAAGAGCTGCCGATGCTCCCAGCAGCGCTGTTCCTCTCGCCATGACTGCGATCGAAGGCTGCCACAGGAAGAGATTGCTGCGGGTGGACCCCCTGCCAGCAGGCCATCGAGTATATGCTCCCTCCCGATCATGACAATTGATGCCGGTGGTTCTCCTGCGGAGCATGCTGCGGTGTGCCATGCAGCCAGTGCAACCGCGAATCCTTAAAAGCTCACAGGACTACACATGCAGCGTCCTGAATGCATGAAAGGTTCTGAAAGTACCATCAATCCTGAATGCCATGTCAGCCAGGTAGTAGCTCGTGCTCGATGACCGTCTCGAACATGGTGTCGAGCCCTGGCGTGCCGGATTGGTGGACCATCTACACCGACCAGGATGCGGAGACTTATGACCCCCATGACCCCAGAGCCCTCTTTCATGAAGCTATCATGGCTCTCGAGAGCCATTGGGATCCCTTCATTGGCCATGCTCGGGACTGGGAGGACCAACTGGTTGTGGACGTGGACCTCGCCGGGATCTGCGGCACACTGGATCCTGGGCATGATTTCCATGACCTGCTGCGAGATGGGCCCGAGCAATGCCTGTTGCTGCTCGCTGCCGCGATCCATCAGGTACGGCCGTCTGTGGGTCGATCGCAAGGGATCAGGACCGCGTATTGTTACCCAGCCGGCCAAGGTCGGTCGAGGGCGTGGCATCGGGTGCTCCCCCGCGCTCTGCCTGTTCGACCATCTATTTCTGCACCTCCCTCCACTAGAAATGTGTGCATGAACCTTGAGGATCAATGTCGCACTTGCCTTTACAACACTTCGACCAGAAATTGACCATCGTGACTGGGCATGTGTGTGCGAGTCTAGGATGGTGTCATTCATGGCCGTGCCTTCTTCGACGCCACCCCGGCTTCCTCTCATCCACCATAGACCAGAGGTATCAGCCCCTGCCATCGTCGCCCCCTCTGCCTGCGGCCCACCACCCTACCAAGCACCGTTCCAGCGCTGGACCGTCCGCCCACGCCCTCCTTGATTGGGAGTATGGTGGCGGTGCAGGGGACGGTCGTCGCGGCCACGCCCATCCACCCCGTGGCCACCTCCCTGGAGTTCAGGTGCCGAAAGTGCAACTCACGCACGCGCCTGCTCCAGCTGGAGACGGGGGTGAGGCAGCGGCCGGAGCACTGCGCGTCCCGAGCGTGCCGCGCTCGCTCCATGGACCCAGTGGCATCCAGCGCCCAGGCCGTGCTCTGGCGCTCCGTCTGGGTCAAGCCAGAGGTGGGAGGGAAGCATGTACCAGCTGCGTGGAGACTGGAAGGGCATGGAGAGGGGAGGAGGGTGATGTGGGCTGAGCAATGACAGACTGGAAGGGGATGACTGCCTGGTGCCGGTGAAGTTAAAAAAACGGCCTCGATGCACCCTTGCCTTCTGCAGGGGTCCGACACGGCTGAGCTGGGCCTGCCTGGGCAGGCCATCCAGGTGCACCTGGTGGGGGAACTGGCGGAGGTGGGCTGCCTGGGTCGGCGCATTCATGTTTCGGGCATCGTGAGGCCGGGCCATGGAGGGGCAGCAGGTGGGCGGGTGGTGTGGGTAGGGCGTTGGGCCTCCAAAGGTTGGGGTCTGGATTGAGAAAAGGGAGGTGCTTGGCACGAGGCCTCAACCACCACCTACATATCACCACGATGCTTGCACCCCGTACTGGTATCCGCCCTTTTGTTGTTCCCGGTGTGGGAATCTCGTCCAGGATTCATGGACTGTGCCTGGAGGTGGCACGCCTTCCAAACCCCTTTCCCGACCCTTGACATGTTGCTGCGCAGCACCATCATGGGGCTTGCATGATCCTCACTCTCACGCAAACATTCGCGCGTGCACGCATGCATACCCACAGATGCCGAGGACGCGAGCAGCAGGCTGAGACCCTATCTCTCGGCGCTCAATGTGCGCACCCTGGGCAGTGCCTGGTGTGAGCTCCCCCAGCTCGACGATGAGAGACTTGTAGAGTTGGGAAAGATCCTAGATCAGCAGGTGCATATTGAGTTCTTTGCTGTAGGGACTATACCTCAGGGTGTTGGGTACTGGCTGTTGTATATGAATGTATCTGGCTGGACCTGCGACAGGTGGGGGAATTGCTGGCCCATTGCTTTATGTCCAGACTTACAAGAGCCTTCACATCCAATCTGTCTTGTCATCCTTCATGCGCACCTCTGTAGGGTTTGGACGCAGTGGCCTCGAGCCTGGAGCCCAAGCAGCAGCTGCCCGCCGTCCTGTGCAAGGCGGTGACGCTGCTGGCCCTCGTCTCCGGCGCCCCTGCGCTGCTGGCATCCCCCGCACCAGCCCCCGACACCCCCCCGATTCAGCACTCCAAGCCCCTGAGCCTCCTCATCGTGACAGACGCTGGCATGGGGGTGAGCTCCCTGATCGAAGCAGCATCGGCTGCAGCGTGCTCCTCCCAGCACCTCGACTGCGGGCCCCACACCGTCCTGGGGCCGCATGCCTTCCCGGGCGGCAAGGGCATCGGCGCGGTGGCGGGCGGCGCTGCGGCCTCCGAGCCGGGACTTGTGTGTCTGGAGGCCGTCGAGCGGCTGCCGGCCAGGCAGCTCCAGGTGCGAGGAAGCATGGGGCTTCGGGTGTGCTGGTCAGTGAGTTGGGATCTGTGCAGGGCTGTGACTGCATCTACAGCTGGTTGACAGCAATACACCCAGGCCCTCTGCAATCCTGGGTTGAAGGGCTAGGGGCGTTCTCTGCGATGCAAGTTGCAGGGTGCTGCTGAGCGTGTGGAAGCGGTGCCGCACCTGACTCCCACCGTGTCCTCTGCTTTGCTGAAACACCATTCACACCTCCCTCGGCGCAGGTGCTGCTGGGCCTGGTGAGCGGGAGCGCTGTGGGCGGCGCACCCCCTGCTCAGGGCCCGCCCACGTGCATCCTGGCCACCACCACGCCGCCAGGAGGAAAGTACGATGCCTCCCGCAGTCTCATGGTAGGTGCAGGGGCTTGGTGTTTGTGGTTCGACTGCTAGGGTCTGGGTGGGTGTAATGTGTCCAGCCGGCCGGCCTCTTCTGGTGGTGAAGCTCCATGCCACCCAGCTGTTCAAGATGCTCATCATGTGCTCCTGCCAGGACAATGTGAGGCTGCCGGCCGCGCTGCTGGCCCGCTTCGACCTGGTGCTCACCCTGCTGGACCGGCCGCAGGACCCCGCGACCCTGGCGCTGAGGGCCTGCCTGGGCCAGGAAGAGGGCAGCCAGGGCAGGGGCACGGGGGGCGCTGCCGCGCCGCCGCCGGCCTGGTGCCCGGGGGGTGCCACGTTCCGTTGTCAAGGGACCGCCACGTCCCAGCGCCAATACGACGTCGGCGCGTCCCAGCGCCGATACGACGCCGCCGCGTCCCAGGCCAGCAGCGCCGTCGGCGCCAGCCCCACTCCCGGCCAGGCCATCACGCAGTGGCACCTGGGCGGGCCGGCGGTGCCCGAGGCTAGCTCGCCGCGCCTCACGGCGGGGGCGGCGGCCGCCCTCGCCCGGCACTTGGCGGGGTGCAGGGCACTGCCGAGCTGGACGGGTGAGGTGGGGTGGAGGACTCGATCGTTTGGCAGGTTTCGGCTGGCGGAGGGGGCAAGCACGCGCGTGCTCGGCGGCTCGCAAATGCCAGCTCAGGCTGCCCTGCCCGGGGGAATCCGGCCTGTTGCGCCCGCGCCACCACACCACAGGCTCCGAGGTCGACGCCTGCACATGCACGCACCGACATGTGCGCCCATCCAGCCACCCCCCCCCCTGCCCCTGCTCCCCGCAGGCGAGTCCGGGGCGGCCGCCAAGGCCTGCTTCCTCCAACTGCAGGCCGAGGTGCGGGGCGCCCCCGACCTTGCACCCATGGGCTGGCACCACCTGCACCTGCTCCTGCGGCTGGGCGGCGCGGTGGCCGCCGCGTGCCTGGCCGGGCGGGTCGCTCCCAGCCACGTCGAGGCGAGTGGCTTGCGAGGGGAGGAGGGATCTGATGCAGTGACGGGGCTGGGGCTCAGGGCACATGCCGGGCGGGAGAACCCGGGGGTCGATCTGAAGGCACAACTCCAGCCAGCGAGGCGGGATCGCTGTGGCTTCAGACCCTAGTATTGGATCAGAGGCAGGTCCAGGACTTCAGTGGCAGGGTGTCCAGCGGAACCCCAGGGCTTTTTCATGAGGCGCAGCACCTTTTGCCAAATTCTGGGGCCACGAATGCAGCCCCCCATGGGCTGCAGGGACAGGGGGCAGTCGTGCCGGTCTACCTCTCCGCCCCAACTTCCCGTCTATGCCCCATGCCAGGCGGCCGGGGACCTGCTCTTTGCCAGCTTGTGCTGCGGCACGGTGTGTGGGGCGCCCGGCGCCTTTGATGCGGGGGCTGGCGCCCAGGACCCCGGGAGCACGGCGGGCCCACAGCATGATCCCAGGCCAGGGACCAAGAGGCCCAGCTTCCAGGCTCGGCGGCAGAGGTTCATGGCGGCGCTGCACCGGCATTGTGTGGCGAGTGGAAGTAGGGCAAAGACGTGTTGTTTCACGAGCGGAAGGCTGTGAGGGCGGCCGGATTGGATTGTGACAGGGAGTCCCTCTCACCCGGCAGAGACGCCCAGCCAATGCCGGCCCAGCATCGTGCATGGTATGGCTGAGGCTCAAATGCACCCGAAACCGAGCCCCCACCCTCGCTGCATGCTGCAGGCGACGGGGTGCCTGGAGCTGCAGATCGCGGAGCTGGAGGGCATTGCAGCCAGGGCTCGGGTGCAGGAGCCAGAGTTCCATGGCTTCATCGAGAGGCTGAACGACGGCGGTGAGCTTGGAGGGAGTTTCATCTACTGGGTATGGAAGTCTGGCAGTGGTCAGGAGGGCAGGCGCTCCGAATGCGATGTGAAGCTTTTTCCTCGCGAGGGGGGCCCTGCTTCCGACCTCTGAATAGCCTGGTGAAAGCTGGTGGAGGCAACACCTGCGGTGCTCACTCGATGCAAATCGTCACCACACCACTGCAGGGGACATCCTGAAGAAGGGGCCAGGTCTGTACTCGTACAATGGTCCGTTGGCGGTTTGAGTGCTTGCAGGACACCGAATGGAAGCCCTGGGCAGAGCAGAGGCGGCCACCACCCTGTGCAATCGGGAAGTTTGAGTGGGCAGCATCCCAGCCAAGAGCCTGTACGGTATGACGGCACAAGTGACCCTGTTTGTGATGTGAGATGGATGTGTGGACAACAACACCATAACAGTGACCCTGTCTCGGGGAAAAACTCCTCAAAACGGTAGACACTGTAAGCTAGGACTGGTGATCATACACATCTGCATGATGACCTATGAGATTGGGATGCCTAGAGGCAGAAACAGCACTTACAAATCTCTTTTAGTCCTCTGAGTGTATAAGCCACGATCTTGCGATGCCTAAGAGGGAGGGTTGTCTCCCTCCTGATTACCAAGATGGGGGCATTCCCAGAGTACTACACCCTTCTCCATCGAATGGGGCAGTGTCATCATGGCTCCATCGCAAGTACAGACTGATTGTACTGTGGTCCATGCGATATTCTGGTGGAAATATTCCGATGTTCAAAGCGGGTTTCGACGTGGGCAAAGCTGGAGAGCTGAACCATCTCCTGCAAACCCTAACTCGTCAACGTGGCGCTCTCCCGGAAGGTTGCGAGAATCTACCCTGCTTTGCGGAAATGAGAATGCTGACGGTGCAATAGGACATCGACATGTCAAAGCTTGTGCACAAATCAGATCTGTGTCATTTCCATACAAAATCTACTATAGACCTAGGCTCATGGTGCCCCCCAATCCTGAGCCGGTGCCCTGTACGGGCACCGGCCGCGATACGGCAGCACCTGTCCCTGTCGCGACGCTCACGTCACAAGATCTCGCCGAGGCCACCGAAGATGCAGCACACGAAGAAGGGCGCAGCGACAACGTCTGCAAAAGGTGGGTGGCGAATTCTGAGAGTACACTTGGCCCATGTTACAATGCGTTGCCATCGTGATGGGAAGCTGGTACTTGATGAAGCTGCCGCTACAGGGGCACTGACTCATCTACAACGAACAATAAAACTCACAGGTTTCTACGCTGGGTGCTCTCCTTCGCGGTGTGTATCCCAGACTTTCCTCTCATGGCTTATTGGGTCCTTGCTTCATGGCGGCTTGGTGCCATTGAGAGCTGCCTGAGGAAGCAAGCCACTCCCTGACTGGTTTTGCTGACCCACCACCATCTCCCTCCAGGTTCCCGGATTGGGCATGTATTCCGAAGCCTATTTTGTGTTTGCCATTGGGAACCTGAAGCCCATCTTCAAGGTCGGTGGGACTGGATGCATGACAGGTGTTGGGTGGCCAGTGCAGTCTGAATGGCCCATGCATTACTCCTGTCTACAAGACAGTCTGACCCGGATGGGATTGGGGCTGCAATGCCGCTGTGACTGAGCAACCACACTCCTCAGCCCTCACCCTCCACCCCTGGGCCCTCCCACTCAACCACACAGGCTCTGTACCCCGAGTGCTGGGTCACCTTCCAGACATGCAGCCCCAACCTGTCAGACTCCATCAACTACTCCCAGATCTCCGGCATCATCGCCGGCCAGCTGATCATCGGTTTCCTGGCCGATCGCCTGGGCCGGCGTGCAGGATCCATCCTCACCGCCTCCATCATGCTCCTGTTTGGCATCCTGATAACCGCCTCCTCGGGCTCCAACTCCGGCAACCTGTTCATCATGTTCACCGTGGTCCAGGCCCTGTTTGGCGTCGGCCTGGGCGGTGAATTTCCCGTAGCCTCCGCCTCGGCCAACGAGCGCGCGGAGCAGACCAAGCACCTGCAGAACAAGCGCGGGGAGACGGTGGTCCTGGTCTTTTCCATGCAGGGCTGGGGCAACCTGTTCAACACCATGATCATCCTGGCCTGCATGGCCGGATTCGGCCAGTACGCCCCGCCCTACAGCCCCTACGCGCTGGAGGTGACCTGGCGCCTGTCCTATGCGCTGGGCCTGCCCCCCCTCCTCTTCATCTTCTACTACCGTGTCTTCAGGCTGCGGGAGTCCACCGTCTGGCGCCAGAAGCGCGAGTCGCTGAAGCTGATGGGGCGCGATGCGCAATGGACGCCGCGCAAGACGCGGCTCCTCCTGCGCCACTACTGGCACCGCCTGGTGGGGACCAGCCTCTCCTGGTTCGTCTGGGACTTTGCCTACTACGGCAACAAGCTCTTCCAGTCCACCTTCATCGAGGTGATCCACCCGGGGGCGGGGCTCCTGGCGGTGCTGGAGTGGACCCTGCTGAACAGCGGCGTGGCCCTGGTCGGCCTCTACTGCGCCGCCTTCACCATCGACAAGACGTGGATGGGGCGCAAGCGCATGCAGGCCATGGGCTTCTGGTGGATGTGCGTCCTCTTTCTGGCCTGCGCGGGCGCCTACCACAAGCTGCTGGAGCCCGCCAACCTCCCCGTCTTCCAGTTCCTCTACTACTTCTCCTCCTTCTGGGGCCAGTTTGGCCCCAACGCCACCACCTGGCTCCTCCCTGCTGAGACCATCCCCACCGAGGCGCGGTCCATGTGCCACGGCATCGCTGCCGCGGTGGGCAAGGTGGGCGCCCTCCTCGCAGGTGTGGTGTTCAGCCTGGTGGACGACCGCTCCAAGTTCTGGATCTCAGGCGTGTGCAGCGCCGCAGGCGTCCTCCTCACCTTCCTCCTGGTTCCAAACTTGACGGGGCTGGACCTGAAGGAGGGGGACAAGCGCTGGCTCGCCATCGTCGATGTGGGTCTTCCAATAGGCAGAAGGGGAAGGGTGGGAAGGAGTGGGGATGGACTGATGAGGGTTGAGATGTCTGGTCGGTCAGTGAGTGTGGGACTCCCACATGTGAGTGTTTCTGTGCATGCCTGATCGATTCAAGAAGTCTCCCTGCATATTGCTTTAGTTGATGCACAAGGATAGGACTGGCTGAATCACCCGATCTCATCCCACGGGGTTGTGCTGCAGGGCAAGGCGGATGAGTACACAGGTCCCGCCATAGCAGCCAAGCACCTGTCCCTGCTGGAAAGGACGGTGTATCGCCACCAGGCGAGGTATGTGTCTCCCTTGATGGAGATGGTCCAGGCGCCAGGCGGCGAGAAGGCAGCGGGCGGACCACCAGGCATGGCCTAGGTCAAGTTTTCAATGATATTTTCCTCGACACCACTTTTGAAATGAGCCCGGCATCATCCTGCCTCAAGCACCTCGGTTACCTAATAATCCTGGGGAAAGCATGGTACCCCTTTGAACTGTGGATTCAAGTACTTGTCTCGACCATTCTGGGTCACACAGATCTTGATCTTTGCTCAAGATTAGACCAGGCTCGCCACCCTGCTTTGTAGTAATCAACATTACATGGCACGCATGGGTGTGCAGGCGCATAGACAGCGGGGTGTGCCAAAACGAGGGCTGAGCTACTTAGAAGCGCACATTACGAACTAGACAGTACAGCCTGAATTTCAGCACACTGAGAATGCTCAAAATCTCAGGGAAAGCCGAAAGCCCACACAAATGTGGGAAAAGCTGGTGGTCAAGCGTCATGCAGGCCATCTGATTCGGAAGGAGAGATCGATAGTAGCGGGGGACAGATCGGATGAGGGATGGGGTGGGATAGAACATGGGGTCGGGTGTGGCATGGCAACCAATCTCTGAGAATTGATCCAGGAGACTTACTGAACAGTGGATCTGGGTATTGAGGCTGTGCAGTCACCCAGTTGGAAATTCCTGCACACGGCTTGGGAAATGTCAGTGGCAGATGCTCCTCCCACAGCGCCCTTGGAAAAGGAGAAGAGGAACAACCCAGCCCCGCCGAGTCCCCTAACAGTGCTGCTGAGCGCATTGACGCCGCTGATTTGAAGCGCAGTGCCATCGTACTCGGGTGCAACTTGCATGCCAAGCAACACAATCCCTGTGGGAGGAGTGGCTGACATATCAATGGTTCCTGGAGGATGGCATGCATTTGTGATTAGAAAGGCTCACTACCCTGCATTGTCAAGAAGAATGATGCCATACTAGCAATGCTATGGTACCCACGCCCTCGCACTGCCTTTCTCATGACACACGAAGACATTTGGAAGAGGATCTCGGTGGCAGTCTGTCATGAGGGACACCCATGAGCACTCACCAGGAAAGAAGGACTTGTAAGCCTGGTAGGCTGCAGTGTAATTGAAATCTGGACCTCCGTTGTAGCTCAGTACGTTGATGAAGTCAAGGTTACTTCCGACCGCCTTCAGCATGTTTATGGACAGGCCTGTCTGTGGCGATCCAACCCCCAGGTTCTCATAGGGGGCTTGGCCCCAGGCGCCAGAGCTCCTCAGGGCTGCAGACAGCAGTTTGCATCCCGTGGCGGCCAGGCTAGAACGGTACTGAAGGACAATATTCTGGAACTGCTCGTCAACGGCACAGGTCATGAGGCCAGTCGTGGGGGATACTCCACAAGCTGCATGGAGGGGTGGTTGGGAGCAGGACGTGTTCAGACATTGACCGCTCCTAGCACCTCTCCAAGCGGGGCACCTGTTCTCAAGTCTTGCCATCCAAGCTTGATGAACGAGACAGCTGCCACCGTTTTGGGCTCTTAGGTGCCAAGAAGACAGAGCGATCACGATCCAGAGTCTTGGGCCCCTCTCACCTGGCTTGTCCGGCTGGAAATCAATGTCAATCCCATCCAGTCCGAAGTCCTGGACAAAGGCGGCCGCCGCAGCAGCATTGAAAGAGTTCCAGCTGACTGTGTTGTCAGGTGTAGACGCGCCCCCAACGGAGATCATGACCTTGGTCCCCCTACTCCGCAGTGCCTGTACGCGGGCCCCGAACTCTCTCCTGCTGATGTCCCTTCAAAGTTGAGGCCTGTGCCCTCCAAACTCATCGATTCAGGAGTGTATGTGCTGTCGGGCTTGAAGAAAGCCAGGTAGACAACATTAATGAAGGGTGGGAAGCTCTCCCAGTAGGAGGGATTAGGGGGAACATAGTACGACTCCAGATATCCATTGTAGATGAAGGTAGGGAATGTTGGAGGGGGGCATATAGCTTGCTGGAGGCTGCGAGACTCGTAGCGAATCGGAAGTTCAACCTGTGTCCATGCTCGAGAGGTCAACGTGAGACATGTGAGAGATCATCAGATGGACAGAACACTTGTATAGCGACATCTGCACTGGATAGAGTATTTATTTGTCTCTTCGCGTTTCACAACTCGACTCCGCCCTAGCTTACGTGGCCGTCGACCGTCATGCCGACCGCAGACTGCAACACGAAAGGAGGAAAGGGGTGGGGGGTGTTGTCTGACGCTGAGCTATGTTGACTTCAGTCACGTCAAGCCCCAAAGGCAAAGTCCCTTCCAGATGATATTTTGAGAGGCGTACCGCAGCCAGCATGAGGGTGAAGAGAGCAGAGACCATGGATGTGAACAAGGGCCTCATGGAAAGAACAGGCGGCTGACCCCTGGCGAGTTCAGGTCGCACTGCAAGAGGACAATGTTTTATCAAGCAACTTTCAGCTTCTGAAAGCTTCCAAGGTGAAACTCGCTCTTTGAGGCTGTAATGTGATGCTAAGGAAGGATAACGAAATCGTTCATGCCCTGGCCCGGCTTCCTGCAACTCCTCCCATACTTGAGAGTATCCTCGTCAGCTCCGTCGCGATACACCAAACAGAGCAATAATTGGGACTTCAGCTAATGTGATCTGCATGCATAGCATTCTCCTCACTTCGCATGGCATGTAGAGTCATGTGCGCTCTCGATAAGAGAGAGCGACATCGCTCGGGAAGCTGTACTTCAAAACGCTGCGGCCGATCCGATTACAGTGGCGGACCAGTTCACTTCATCTGTAGAATCCCCTCCTTGGCGTCATTTTATTCTTCATCGTTTGCGCGCTGCGAGTCGCCGTTGAGTGCGCATGGGGAGAAAGCGCCACCTTGCGCCGCGTGATGATTTATCCGAGATCAGAGGGCGGGATGAGTTTGTATGAGATGACCCTCGACGCAATCGTGCGAATCGTTTTTTAATAATATTGTAGAGCCTCCCAAGACACTTCTCATAATTGGGATGAACAGCCGCCCGAGCGATAAAGACCGACGCGCTGATTCTGGAAAAAAACAAGGTGTTGCCGTATCATGTGCTCTACAGCCTCGACCTTGCATTTTCTGGCTTATAATGTACAACCATGGAAGTTGATGCTAACAAAGATGAAAAGCGAATGCTAACGATGCCAAGGACTGGCAGGGGCGTGGATACACATGATACAGCATGCACCTACGCCGGCTTCTATGCAGATTTCCATGTTCATTTCAAGCTGCAAACTGTACCACTTAAGTTCAATAATCTGTCGCATATATGTAACTAAAATTGAATGGTATCAGGCATCCAAAGAGCCCGATAGCGAGATTCATGGTGGTGGTCGATCCGGACATGAGCATCGCATCTCAGCATGCACGTGACATGGCGCTAGATCAGCATGCAGAGTGACTCACGGGGCTAGGACCTGCCTGCCCTTTGTTCCTCCTCCCTAACCATGCAGGACAAATTGGGTCAGGACACCTGGCCTGCCATACCAGCCAGTGCACCTGCGTTTAGAAACGGGCCGATGTATCGCCACCCACCTGACTATGCAGGAGGACCCCTCGAGGAGGCGGTCAAGGCGCAGGACGCGGGCGATCACCAGCCATACAATGAGCCCACCTGATGACAACATGCTTCCATAGCTTCCTGACTGACCTGGGAAGCATCTTGGTTTGAAGGCTTCAACATTCGACCTCCCTGGGGTGAGCAGGGTTTCTCGCATGGTAAATACACTCCTCACTGTCGTCATGTACTTTTAATGCCAAATCTCGAGCGCACACTCACGCAAGGATGCGCTTGCTACCCTGTCCCAAATCAATCATCTTTACATAGCAAGCATGGACGTAAAGGCACAGCGCAGGTGCAGCGGGTCAGAGTAGGAACTCAGCCTGGTGGGCTTGCTCAGTGATTGCCGAGGAGTTTGACGTGGATGTGTGCACACTAGGAGTGCTCAGGATCTTAGAGGGAGATGGAAGCCCACCATTAGGTAAGTTCAGGTGGGTGTAAAATTTCAGACATGCCAGAACATTCATAGTGTGAAAGTCCGTTAGATTGGGGACACATCGAGGGAGATTTTCACAGAGTGAAGAGGAGGAGACAGGTGCATGGCAGCTTTAGGCCATTGCAAGGGGATAGACCCAAAGGCTTCACTGAACTTTGGACGGTGGGATCGTTCCTGTACAGTCACCCAGTCGAAATTGGTTGCACACGGCTTGGGAGATCTCAGTGGCAGTTGCTCCTCCCTCAGACCGCTTTGTGAAAGAAAATAGGAAGAGCCCAGCTCCGCCCAGCTCCTTGACAGTGTTGCCCAGGTCATAGACAGTATCAATGGTCAGAACATTTCCCCCGAATGCTTCAGGTGCAACTTCCATGCCGAGAAGAATGCGACCTGTATGAGGAGAATGATAGCGGCTGGGAACTCTAGGGCTAAAATGTCCTCTGGAATCTGCCCGGAATACGCTGCATGCAGCACATCCAGTAACCACGAAGATCAATCTGACGAGTGGGCAAATCAACCTAGCAAAGCTAGTGTCCTGACACATCAGCAGTACTATGTGAGGCTGGGGGGAATGTCAGCATGCAAGGGCAACCCTTACCCGGGCCCTCACCTGGGTAGAAGGATCTGTATGCCTGGTATGCATCCCGATACGGAAAATTTGGACCAGCGTCATAGCTCATAACGTGAATGAAGTCCAGAGCACATCCGGTAGCCTTCAGCATGTTAATGGATAGCCCTGTCTGTGGCGATCCGATCCCCAGTCCTGTCCAAGGGGCCTGGCCCCAGGCGCCAGAGCTCCACAGAGCTGCAGAGAGCAGCTTGCCAGAACCTAGGGTATCCAGCCCAGCACGGTACCCAGAGATGATGTTCTCGAATTTCTCATCAGTGTTACACGCCATGTTTCCCGTGTCTTGAGATACCTTGCAGCCTACGTGTGGCAGTGATGGTAGTAAGGAGCTAGTGGGACCTTCTTCCTGCTTGCAGCGCGTCGTGAGCGATGATGGCTACGAGCTTTGTAGCCAAAGGGGGAGACACCGAGGGGTTTGCAGCTGAAAAGGGATCCTCAAGCCCAGAGTGGAAATGGAGGGCATGACATGTGATGTAAGAGCCCCTCTCACCTGGCTCGCGCGGCTCAAAATCGATGTCGATCCCATCCAGTCCGAAATCTTGGACAAAGTCGGTTGCAGCCTTGACATTCCATGATTCCCACTCCACCGGTCGGTCAGCATTGGATGCCCCTCCGATGGAAAGCATAACCTTGGTGCCCTTGCTCTGCAGCGCTTGTATGCCGGCCGTGAGCTGTGCCGCCGAGGTGCCCTCGAAGAGTAAGCCTGTGTTCGCAAGATCTGTTTGTCCAGCAGTGTACTGGCTATCTGGTGTGAAGAAGAAGAGGAGGGCAACGTTGATGTAGGATGGGAAGCTCTTCCAGTAGGAGGGATCAGGAGGGACAAAATAAGACTCGACATATCCATTGTAAATGAAGGAAGGAAGGTTGGGTGCAGGGCATGATGCCTGTTGGAGCTGGCGATGTCCATCCCGATTCGGGAAGTCAAGCTGTGTTCAAGCTCGAGTGGGGTTGACTTGGTAGGCATATAGACGATCTCGACATCGACAGAACACTTGCATTGAGAGATATGCAGAGAAGATTTTATATTTATGTCTCTTCACATTTCACACCTTGGCAACTTCCAGGTTGATCGCGCTGTCGCGCATCATGCCCGCTGCAGCCTGACGGACGGCAGGAGGGAATCGAGTCAGTCTGACGCGCAGCTCCATCCTCGTTTATCTCATCAGACCCCCAAAACAATGCCGCAGTGAACATGTCCCTCACAAGAGACGTACAGTTACCAGCATGAAGGTGATAAGAGCACAGACGATGAGAGTCATCCATGGCTTCATCATATGCTCGGGCACTCGGACCCCTAGCGAAGTTCAGGTTGCACTCTTTGAGATTTTTGTTGCAGAACACAACTTCAGCTTCTACAGTCTTCCAAATTAAACTGGCCCTTCGAGGCTGCAATGTCATGTTTGGAAGGGATAAAGATCGCGTTCATGATTGCCGGCTTCCTGCAACTTCTCCCATACTGCGGGTATCAACCCATGTGAGCTCGGTCGCATGACCCAAATCACAGCGATTCTCGGACTGAAAGATGTGCAAAGAGTATGGACACCACTATCCCCATTTTCGCATGGCATCGAGAGTCATGCGTGCTGATGTCGAGAGAAAGCGATACCCGCCGAGAATCTGTACTTCGACGGAGAGGGGCCCGGTCCGATCGAAGCAGCGGAAGAGCTAGCTAGGTTAGTGGATCCCAGTCCGCGTCATGATCCAACTCCATCGTCGTGTGGGCACCGTAACTGGCCCATTGATGAGCTTGAGGAGGAAGCGCCTAGGGTATACCTGCTATCACTTCGAGACGATCATGCACATGATGGACTTCGCATGACTTACAGATTGCAATATGGTATACTTCATACAGCCCCCAGAAGCAACTTTTGCAGCTTGAGCGTCGAGTCACCCGAGTCGCAAATGGCGTGTTGTGAACGAGGCGCGGGTAGGCCGAGGTAGCGTACGAGGCTCTCTGTCCTGAATGTTTTCTCAGAGATGTTCTGTGGTCTTACCCGGGTCAGTCGTATCCCAGCCTATTGGAAAGGCGAGAGCAAGGTGTTGCAACCCAGCATAGGGTTCGCATATAAGATGCACCTAGCCAGGGATGGCAATCCCCGGTGCAAAGACCTCCTATCCGGTCTCATGACTGTGGTAATACGGGTACCGGCAGTGGGCGAGCAAGGCCAAGCCGGATATGGACGCGATACACATGTGAATCTGCTGAGGGAGCTGGGGCAGAGTGGATGAAGACCGGAGAAGTGAACCTGGGAAGCCTGCTATGCAGGATGGGCAACATGACGCTGCAATCAGAGCAGCCACTTGACATCACTCCCGACCTGGCCTCGATAACTGCGAAGCCTCGCACTGAAAGAACGGACAGTGCCACCGCCCCACACCCTGTGGACAGTAGCAACGGTGCTCCACCACTGCTGAGCATCCCGGACAACCCGGCACCTTCACCCGAGAGCGATCCAGGGCTCAAGGAAGCACTCCAGAGGCTAAGGACCAGGATCAACCTGACTGCGGAGAAGGGAGTGCGTGCGGACCATGAAGCACCCTACAAGCACCTCATGGAAGCTGATCTGCAAGTGTTGCCCGCTTGGTCGGCTGATACCATTCCCTACGAGCGGCACGTCAAGTGCAAAGCACGCCACATCCGCTCCAACCTTGAGAGAGGGGGTGGCAAGAGGCAGTGGCACATGATGGACTTCGCATGACTTACAGATTGCAATATGGTATACTTCATACAGCCCCCAGAAGCAACTTTTGCAGCTTGAGCGTCGAGTCACCCGAGTCGCAAATGGCGTGTTGTGAAGGAGGCGCGGGTAGGCCGAGGTAGCGTACGAGGCTCTCTGCCCTGAATGTTTTCTCAGAGATGTTCTGTGGTCTTACCCGGGTCAGTCGTATCCCAGCCTATTGGAAAGGCGAGAGCAAGGTGTTGCAACCCAGCATAGGGTTCGCATATAAGATGCACCTAGCCAGGGATGGCAATCCCCGGTGCAAAGACCTCCTATCCGGTCTCATGACTGTGGTAATACGGGTACCGGCAGTGGGCGAGCAAGGCCAAGCCGGATATGGACGCGATACACATGTGAATCTGCTGAGGGAGCTGGGGCAGAGTGGATGAAGACCGGAGAAGTGAACCTGGGAAGCCTGCTATGCAGGATGGGCAACATGACGCTGCAATCAGAGCAGCCACTTGACATCACTCCCGACCTGGCCTCGATAACTGCGAAGCCTCGCACTGAAAGAACGGACAGTGCCACCGCCCCACACCCTGTGGACAGTAGCAACGGTGCTCCACCACTGCTGAGCATCCCGGACAACCCGGCACCTTCACCCGAGAGCGATCCAGGGCTCAAGGAAGCACTCCAGAGGCTAAGGACCAGGATCAACCTGACTGCGGAGAAGGGAGTGCGTGCGGACCATGAAGCACCCTACAAGCACCTCATGGAAGCTGATCTGCAAGTGTTGCCCGCTTGGTCGGCTGATACCATTCCCTACGAGCGGCACGTCAAGTGCAAAGCACGCCACATCCGCTCCAACCTTGAGAGAGGGGGTGGCAAGAGGCAGTGGACTGCTTCAGCAAGCAAATGAGGACCAAGATGACCTTGCACCTGGTGTGGATCCCATGTATGTCAACGACTAGAAAGGCATCCAGACGGGCAGTGTATGAGAAGGGGGGGTATCTGGCCCCTTTAAGGGCTAAGGATGGGGGAGGCCCCTGCGCCACCAGCGGCCCATTGGGACACGACCGATGTTTGGCGACGGCGTTCTATCGCTCTGTACTCGATACTATTGCCTTCATACAATATTCAAAAGTTAGAATTTGCCTCTTGCGATGCGTTCGCATCCCTACTGGCCACGACGGGGTCTCCCGAAGGGGCGAAAATGGACCCCGCCGAACGGGGTCCTCTCGGATCCTCATCAAGCAATTTTTCGGATCTTTATATCTTATTTAAGCATGGGTTCGGCACGAGTGGCACCTGACTGTGCGATCTGAGGCTAAGGACCAGGATCAACCTGACTGCGGAGAAGGAAGTGCGTGCGGAGCATGAAGCACTCTACAAGCACCTCATGGAAGCTGATCTGCAAGTGTTGCCCGCTTGGTCGGCTGATACCATTCCCTACGAGCGGCACGTCAAGTGCAAAGCACGCCACATCCGCTCCCACCTTGAGAGAGGGGGTGGCAAAAGGCGGCGGCCTGCTTCAGCAAGCAAATGACGGCCAATATGACCTTGCACCTGGTGTGGATCCCATATTTGTAAGCGACTAGCTTAGCAACGAGGCAGGCGATGTATGAGGAGGGGGGTATCTGGCCCCTCGTAAGGAGGCCCCTGGGCCACCAGGGGCCCATCGGGCACGACCGATGTTTGGCGACGGCGTTCTATCGCTCTGTACTCGATACTATTGCCTTCATACAATATTCAAAAGTTAGAATTTGCCTCTTGCGATGCGTTCGCATCCCTACTGGCCACGACGGGGTCTCCCGAAGGGGCGAAAATGGACCCCGCCGAACGGGGTCCTCTCGGATCCTCATCGAGCAATTTTTCGGATTTTATATCTTATTTAAGCATGGGTTCGGCACGAGTGGCACCTGACTGTGCGATTCGTATTGCCCCGGGTTGGCCGATTAGGGACTCCGGGGACCGGATCTGCACGTGTGCACGTGACAAGGCGCATGCCGCAGTAGCAGATCAATCTAGGGCCCTGAGACACGTAACTGATCCGCTGATGTTACCATTCCAGCAATTACGCAAGTGGAGATAATTTGGATGTGGTCAAGGGAAGGAAGTCAACCCGGCACCTTCACCCGAGAGCGATCCAGGGCTCAAGGAAGCACTCCAGAGGCTAAGGACCAGGATCAACCTGACTGCGGAGAAGGGAGTGCGTGCGGACCATGAAGCACCCTACAAGCACCTCATGGAAGCTGATCTGCAAGTGTTGCCCGCTTGGTCGGCTGATACCATTCCCTACGAGCGGCACGTCAAGTGCAAAGCACGCCACATCCGCTCCAACCTTGAGAGAGGGGGTGGCAAGAGGCAGTGGACTGCTTCAGCAAGCAAATGAGGACCAAGATGACCTTGCACCTGGTGTGGATCCCATGTATGTCAACGACTAGAAAGGCATCCAGACGGGCAGTGTATGAGAAGGGGGGGTATCTGGCCCCTTTAAGGGCTAAGGATGGGGGAGGCCCCTGCGCCACCAGCGGCCCATTGGGACACGACCGATGTTTGGCGACGGCGTTCTATCGCTCTGTACTCGATACTATTGCCTTCATACAATATTCAAAAGTTAGAATTTGCCTCTTGCGATGCGTTCGCATCCCTACTGGCCACGACGGGGTCTCCCGAAGGGGCGAAAATGGACCCCGCCGAACGGGGTCCTCTCGGATCCTCATCAAGCAATTTTTCGGATCTTTATATCTTATTTAAGCATGGGTTCGGCACGAGTGGCACCTGACTGTGCGATTCGTATTGCCCCGGGTTGGCCGATTAAGGACTCCGGGGACCGGATCTGCACGTGTGCACGTGACAAGGCGCATGCCGCAGTAGCAGATCAATCTAGGGCCCTGAGACACGTAACTGATCCGCTGATGTTACCATTCCAGCAATTACGCAAGTGGAGATAATTTGGATGTGGTCAAGGGAAGGAAGTGCGCCCGGGTCCGCCCGTCCGGACCAACATGCAGGACATCGGGAGCAAGCCCGTAGCATGCGAGCTGCACGCTCGAGAACCAGCAAGCGGGTTATGAAGACTCTCTGAGTGTCCATACTACTTCTTATAGACAGGAGAGACAAGCCAGGAGTGGCTCGCCTGTACCACTCAATCCCCTGGGTTGCGGGACGGTGTCACTTTGGGAGAAGCGGGAAGGCCCAATACACCTCCCAAAACACTACATGGCGTTGAAATTGTCCTTCTGTTCCAATCCAGGGGAGGGAGGGGAGGGCGCACTGGGTTTCATGTGTCGCACGCAGTGACCTCCTGCGCGTGGTCACCGCTCAAGATAACGTGCTGCACCCTCCCGTTCGCAAGAGACGGGAAAGGAGCCGCTTGTGTCAGAGATTCGCGCATCTGTAATATTCCTGGGCTACCCTGCGAGCCAAGAAGCTGTACAGGATGTCGGGCGCCGCGGTGAGGAGGTCGCATCCCCCCGCCCAGGCGTCTGTCACGTGGTCCAACGAAATCACACATCTCTAAACTGGGCGAACCCTAAGCTCTATGAGCTGCGCATGGACCGTGGGTCGAATATACACATGGGCAAGCCTCTAACAATATTTCTTTTGGAAGCATCGATTCCCTCCTTTGGGGCTTGTGCATGCACCCACGCCGTCTTCGCGAGCCCCGTTCGTCAACAGTGCTTTCCACCTGGAAAGCATCTTGGCATCTTTGCGAAAGCATCCATCACCTCTACACGCGGCCATATATTCCGACGCCGCCCATGCCTCGGCTGTACAGAAACCCTTCGAGCGTAACTCCCTTCCTTTTTAGTGAGAAGGCGACCACCACAAGGTGTTCGCCATGAACAACGGCGACTCTGACGGCTCCCCAAAGGGGCACGAGTCTGCGGGCATCGAGGAGGGCAAGGTCAAGGTCTACACCAATGCCACACAGAACCTGGCCGACGCCGAGGAGGACACCGCATATGAGAATGTCCGTCACGGCAACGTTGTCAGGAGGTACGTGCTCCGCCGAGGCAAAGGGGAGGCGGGGAAATGCATGCTCCTTGGAAGATATATTCCCCGATAAGGTACGAATATACCCTGCGATCTCTGATTCCAGCTTCTCATAGCAAACCTTCCTTGTGCGAGCTGTTTCCTGAGCCACTCGACTGCTTGTCGCGCAAGCACTGCGTACAGCCTGGGACCGTAGGGTTCCAGCAACCGGAACTCCGACGGCCGCACGTGTTGGCACACATGCGTCCCTCACCCCTCCCCTCCTCTTCCCCGCTCCCCCAGATTCATCTACTGGGTTCTGTCCTTCACCATTCCCGGTCTGGGAATGTTCTCCGAGGCGTACTTTGTGTTCTCCGTGGGTAACCTGAAGCCCATCTTCAAGGTATGAGTGGGTCTTTGTCAGAGAACGGGGTGCTCGCATGCTGCGCAGACCATGCACACGACCCAAGCTTGCAGCGCTATGCATGGCCTCAACTACTCCACATTCAACGCCTTGTATTCTGCTTAGCCCATCACGGGTTCTCCTAGCTCTGCCTAGCTCCTTCTCCCATCCTCCAATCCCCCCCCCAATCTCTCACAGGTCTTGTACCCCGACTGCTGGGTCACCTTCCAGACGTGCAGCAGCAACCTGTCGGACTCCATCAACTACTCCCAAGTCTCCGGTATTATTGCCGGCCAGCTATTCATTGGATTCTTTGCGGACCGCATCGGACGCAAGTACGGCTCCATCCTGACCGCCTCCATCATGCTCCTGTTCGGTATCCTGATCACTGCCTCCTCGGGCTCCAACTCCGGCAACCTGTTCATCATGTTCACCGTGGTCCAGGCTCTGTTTGGCGTCGGCGTCGGCGGAGTGAGTTTTGGTTGTTGTGGTGGGTCTGCTCTGCCATGAAGCCAAGCTGCGACAAATATGCCTCCCTGCGCTGCATGTGCTGCCTACAATGGATGAGCATGCCATCAGACGTGTATTGCACTCCCAGTGCCATTATCCCATGTTACCCAACCTCCCAACACCCCTCCATACCCCGCAGGAGTACCCCGTGGCCTCCACCTCCGCTAATGAGCGCGCCGAGCAGACCAAGCACCTGCAGAACCGTCGTGGCGAGACCGTGGTCTGCGTCTTCTCCATGCAGGGCTGGGGCAACTGGTTCAACACCATGATCATCCTGGCCATCATGGCCGGCTTCAACCAGCGCGGCGCGCCCTACGATGACTACGCACTGGAGGTGACCTGGCGCCTGTCCTACGCGCTGGGCCTGCTCCCCCTGCTCTTCATCTTCTACTGGCGTGTGTTCCAGCTGCGCGAGTCTGCGGTCTGGCGCCAGAAACGCGAGTCGCTGCGGTCCATGGGCAAGGGCACGCGCTTCGGTGCTCGCAAGATGCGCCTGCTCCTCTTCTACTACTGGCACCGCATCGCTGGCACCTCCCTCTCCTGGTTTGTCTGGGACTTTGCCTTCTACGGAAACAAGCTCTTCCAGTCCACCTTCATCAAGGTCATCAACCCCAAGGCGGGCCTGCTGGAGGTGCTGGAGTGGACCCTGCTCAACAGCTCGGTCGCCCTCGTCGGCTACTACTTTGCCGCCTTCACCATCGACAAGACGTGGATGGGTCGCAAGCGCATGCAGGTCATGGGCTTTGCCTGGGTGGGCGTCCTCTTCCTGATCTGCGCGGGGGCCTACCACAAGCTGCTGGAGCCCTCCAACATCCAGGTCTTCCAGTTCCTCTACTACTTCTCCTCCTTCTGGGGCCAGTTTGGCCCCAACGCCACCACCTGGCTCCTCCCCGCCGAGACCATCCCCACCGAGGCGCGCTCCATGTGCCACGGCTTCGCCGCCGCCGTCGGCAAGGCCGGCGCCCTCGTCGCCGGCGTCGTCTTTGGCCTCGTGGACGACCGCGTCAAGTTCTGGATCTCCGGCGTCTGCGGCGCCGTGGGCGTGGTCCTCACCCTCCTCGTCATCCCTGACCTGACAGGGCTGGACCTGAAGGAGGGCGACAAGCGCTGGCTCGCCATTGTCGATGGTAACCACGACGAGTACACGGGCCCTGCCATCAACCCCAGGCACCTCTCTGCCATGGAGAAGTTTATCTACCGCTTCCAGAATAACTATGTGGCTGGCTCGGAGGAGGAGTCCAAGTAGACGGCGGCAGGGGAGCGTGGGGTGGGTCCCCACCTAGCACACGGAGCCCTTGCTCCTCCCTGGTGCCCCCCCCCCTTCCCCGCAACCTCCACCCTTTGCAATAAAACCTGGTAGCTTGCCCTTCCCTTGCACTCCCCCGTAGCTGCCTGGGGAACCCGTTCCGCTTCTGAGACCCCTCAACAGGGGCTCGTCTCCCTTGCTGCTCCTGCGCTTGCCCACTTGCAGGGGGGCGCCTATTTATATTGCCTTTTGACGTGAGCCTGCATAACAGCTTGGAGCCCATGACGACGCCGCCAACTTATTCGGCCATCCAGCGCAAGCGTTTGTAACCTCCATACCTATTCTTCATCCACTTGAGCCCCTCGTCACTCCACTGGGAGGTGCTGTGCTGGGGTCACGGAGTGACAAGGATTTCCAGGCCTGCAGATAACAGTTCAGACCGAGGACCTGAGCAATTATCCTCCAGGAGGAGGGGCATTTGCTGGGAAGGCATGGACAACTGCTTGGCGTTGTAAGGGTCAGGGTGCAGGGGGTGGGATGTGCACAGGATGCCCATGCAGGCGGCAGGCAACCACCCCTCCGGAAAGGGCGCGAAAGGCCGGACGAGTTCCAACTGGGTCGCTGGACAGCTGTGAATCTAGCTCCGAACAGCTGTTCGAGATTCGAGTATGACACCCAGTTCAAATCCTGGCATGCTGCGCCTCGCGGCTCTCACCGAGTCCAGAAAGGGACGCATGCTGTGTTATTGCAGGCCCCATCCGCTTGTTTCGTGTCGCACGACACCGCCTGCTGCACGGCACCGAAACGTCGCGTGCGTTACGACCGCCTCCCGGGGCCCCCACACCCACCTTTGATCGGTTCTCAGGCATCCTTGAAGGTGCCAGAGCCGAGAACACGGCGCAGGCCGAGCACGGCAGCGGGTTGTACCCCTTCCCGGCGGCCACATGTCACTTCCCGGCGAGAGGGGTGGGGTCCCCTGGGGCTGCATGGCCCCCCCCCCGCAATCCTCGAGGGACCCCAAGCTCACCCAAAACGGGATGGGAATGCAGCTGGGCCCGCACATCCCCACCGTGGCGGCCTGTTTGGCGGGCCTGGGCTGGGTATTCTGGCTGATCGAGCGCAACAAGTCGAAGGAGTTCGACGGCAGCCGCTCGCCCAAACCATCTGCGCCTCCCCTCCTCCCCGCGAGAGAGGGGGGTGCAGGGGACCTGGCAGACGAGGTGGAACCCCCCTCTGCCCAGGACTGGTGAGAATTCAGGCAGTGTGGCATCATGCTATGGGGGCAAGGGGAGAAATACGGTATCGGAGAGTTGCCAATGCTACATGCCTGGAAAAACTCAAACTCCTCCATCTGCACTCTCCCATCCTCTGCACAGCTGGACGTCGCCCCCTTCCAAACGCTGGACCTTGCCGACCCAGGGAGCAGGCAGCCCCGACTCCGGCTTCAGGCCCGAGTCCTACATTCGAAGGCTCGACTTTCTGCGTCGCCAGGCATGGGCATGGGCGAGAGGTTTTGGCTGGGTTTGATGATGCCTGCAGGGTTGGCTGTCAATTGGTGATGGCTGATGAGCAGCTCTGAACTCACCAGTCCCCATGCAGCGCTCAACGCCTGATTATCTGGCCACAAAGGGACCCCCACCCACGCTCCGACGGACCCCGACTCTCCTCTGCTTTACTTATGCAGCAGTCCATGCTTGCTGAGTCAGCAGCGCAAGGGGAGGGAATGGATGATCTGGGCGTCGGGCTGCAGAAGCACGAGTCCCAGCTGCTGACCCTCGCCCAGCAGCTGACCCTCCTCCGCATGGAGGTGGAGGAGGTGGGAAGTCGTGGGTGGAGGAGGGGGGTTTTGAAGGAGGGAGGTTAGCAGGGCTGCCCAGTCATGACTTGCAGCTGGTCCTTGCCCGAGATTGCACTACGCATCGCGATTCTGAGCCTGTGGGGGGTCGCCAAAGATGCATGCGCCCATGCTCAGTCCCCCTTCTGGATGGCATCCTCATCCTCAACAGCATTGGCTCCCCTCACCCTCATCCACAGGCCATGGATGAGGAGGAGCCCGGCACACCCTCAGAGGCCCCCTCGCCGCAGGGCAGCGAGGACATTCGCGCAGGCAGTGGGCCGAGCCCAGCGCGCTCAGGCCGCCCCAGCCTGGCCCCTCAGTTCCAGACCAGGGCGCATGGGCCCCCCCCCCCCGACGAGGATGCGCACGGCCCCGATCACGACAGAGAAGAGCGTGGTTTCGGTAGCTCCCCCGCCGCCGGCGCCGCCCGCGCTCGCAGCACCGCCAGCAGCAGCGGGTCGTGCGGCGGCGCGGGGGCGGCGCCCTCGGCCCCCGTCAGCCCCAGCCCGGCCGGGGCATGGCGCGGGGCGGCGGACCTGCTGGCGCAGGACGCTGAGCTGGCGGACGTGGAGAGCTGGCTGATGGGCGCGGGGCCCGGGTCGCCGGACCCCGGGGCGGCCTCCGACCCCGGCCGCCTGGCGCGCGCCGCGGCCGAGTTCGCGGCCACGTGGATGCCCCTCTCCCCCGCCCAGCACCGCGGCAAGGCCGCCGGCGCGGCGCCGGCCTCCCGCCGCCTCGAGCTGGACCGGCTGGCGGTGCCGGGAAAGGGCGGGGTTCATCAGGGGCGGGGGCTGGGTCCTGTCACGCCGCAGCAGGCGCAGCGGGAGGTGGCGGCGCGGCCCGCCTCGCCCGGGCCCAGCCCAGCATCGCCCGGCCTCCGGATCGCGGCGCACAGGCCGCAGGGGCTGCGCCTGGCGCCCACCATCGCCTCGCCCATCGCAAGGCGGGAGCCCCGGCCCGCAGGCGAGTGGTGTGTATGTTCACAGCGAGCGGCGTCGGGGCGGGGAAGCGGTTTGCATGTCGCTGCTGCGTGCAGCAGCCATGCTCACGCCTGCTCTGCCAGGCCCATGGCATCATGTGCAGGCAGGGCTCATCCAAACTGGGCCCCCACCACCACCTCCCAGGCTTGGCCCCAGCGAGCTCATCAGGCTCGAACCCAGTCTCCACCAAGATCCCCAGATCGTTCCCGCCTGCTGGCAAGAAGGCCGGGGACAGTACATCGTTCCCCGCTGTGGCTCCAAAGACCAGGATCCCACGCCCTGGGAGGTGAAGGGAGCATCCATAGGGCGGGCGCCCAGGGTGAGACTTCCCAGGACCTTGACATACGGCCCTCAGGTGTATATTGTTCAGCACTCAGCAGCTTCCTCAGCAGCCCCTGCCACGGGTCCAATCTGCAGTTTTCCCCAGCGATCGACGGGCCTCATGCGAGGAAGTAGCGCCTTGCGCTGATTCGTGGCCCCTCAGCCCTTTCAGTTTCAGCTTGTGGGGCGATCTGTGTGCCACTCCCTTTCCCTGCACACCGAGTGCGGTGTGCATTGCCATGCCAGGATGGTCAGTCCCTTCTTTCTTTCTTTCTCCCAATGTGATTTAGGCTGGAACCAGGTTGATTACGTGTAGAGTAAGTCTTGATTCTGTTATGTGCATCAGGTAGGGGATCAAAGGCTTCCTGTCTTGCATGCAGGAGCACCTGCGACCATCCTCCAAGAGGGTCAAGGAAGCACACCTCGTCTCAAGACCGCGACACGTGCATCTGTTCCCTCAGTACAGCTTTTGTCCATTAAAGTTATTCTGCGACAAGGACAGGTCCACAGCCTTACGTAATAGCACCCTGGCTTTGGCATTGCAAGGTGAAGTCCACTCCGCAAACCATCCACCATAAAACCAATCATTGAATAGCATAGTGAGTAAAAGTACTTTATCTCTCGAAGTGCAGGAGCTTGTTGCCACGTCCATGACACTCCCCCCACTCCCTCTAGCACTGCTGGAGACACGTGCATCTGTTCCCTCAGTACAGCTTTTGTCCGTTAAAGTTATTCTGCGACAAGGACAGGTCCACAGCCTTACGTAATAGCACCCTGGCTTTGGCATTGCAAGGTGAAGTCCACTCCGCAAACCATCCACCATAAAACCAATCATTGAATAGCATAGTGAGTAAAAGTACTTTATCTCTCGAAGTGCAGGAGCTTGTTGCCACGTCCATGGCACTCCCCCCACTTCCTCTAGCACTGCTCACTCTGGTCGGAGCGTGTCTGTCCCTCGCGACTAACGATGCAGCGCTGGTACGCCGCACGCTCCAAGTATGTTCACTTCATATGGTTTTCGATGTCCAACAAGCTCAACATTGCGTCGAATTCTGCCTGTAGGTGACCTGCGGGAGCTTGATCAAGCTGCAACACGTGGCCACGTCATGCCGACTGCACTCCCATGATATACCCTACGGCTACGGAAGAGGGTCTGGGCAGCAATCAGTGACATGCTATCCCGACAGCGACAGTGGGGAGAGCTACTGGCGTGTGGCGTGTGAGGTGCGATGTTTGATATGGTCTAGGGAGCTGACAGAGCCGGCTGCTTGGGGGCCCCCAGTATGTCCACAGACACCAGAGCTCCCGACGTGCATTTAAAATATCACAGGGAGCTGGGAAGCAGGGAGAGGCCATCGTCAGTGGTCGAAGGGTGCGACTTCAGCATGGCCACACAAGAAAGTGGCTGCACAGCCACCACTTCATCTCCCCCCTCTCCGGCAATCAGGAGGTATGGTATGGTGTGAGGAATCGCTGTCCTTGTTGCACTGCCGTCTTTACCGTTTGATTGGTCCTCCATAGAAGTTTGTAAGGGACCGTCGGTGATCATCTCAAGCTGCTCGCCCAAGAGGTTGCTTGGCCTGAAGATCACCATCCAGGTCAACACTCACCACAACCCCTACACGCATTGCTCTCCCAGGTGAGCTGCTTTGGGTCAGACACAGAGACAGACACGGGCGATGTGTGGCTGGTCGAGTGGGACAGCAGCAAGAAGGCATCCTCCTGGATCCAGGATCTCCCTGTCAGGTGAACCGAGGCGGGGGTGGGAGGTCTTTCCAAGCTGTGCATGGCTGCTCGGTTGTGGGGATACAGCACCCAGCTGATCCTTTGTCCCCATCAGCTGGAAGGGTCAACGGGATCCTGTGACATGATCAATTCATTTAATTGATTCTGAAATGGTATGGCTGATTGTTGAGCTCATCCATGGATTCATTCAGATGGCTGTGTGCGACTTTACTCTCACCACTTGTCTTCCCATCCCATTTCCACGTGATCAGTCTCACGCATGTGGATACCGGCTTTGCGTTGTCTTCCAATGGCCAGCAGTTCCAGCGTCCCATTCACGGGCACACGGAGGTGTATGCCGCCAAAGCCAAGAAATCTGCAGCTAAATGGATGGCAGCAGAAGGGATATACTTGCCGAGCAGTGCACCCAAATGACGCTCATTTCTTGTTGGAATATAAACATGAGGTGGAATGAGGCACACCGCCGGCTGTACGACCTCTCATGCAAGTGCGACATGGAGTGCAATCTACTGTGCAAGAATGAGGATCTTGATCGAGCGTGAATCTGCACGGCAGCTGGCCTTTGTGTCGAACCCCGAGTATCTAGGTTAAATGTCATCCGCTTGCCGAAAGCTCAACCTAATTCGCATTTCTGAGCCTGATCTGTACACATCAAAGAAGTCTCTGATCGCCATGTCACAGAACACGACTCCTGCCGCGCCCGTCCCCACGGACCCTGCCAGACTTCAAGCAGGTAAGAAAGAGGATTGCGCCTTCCAATCGGATCAGCCGACACCGCTTCTTACCTTCAAAAACCCAACTTCAATTGTAGATGTGCGCGATGGGCCGCCCAAGGTAGGCGGCACCCCCGCCAGTGCCCAACCAGCCGAGACAGAGGAGAGGGACCATGACCCACTGGCGAGCGCTGCCATCATGAACGTACACCCCACAAAGGAGGGCTTAAACCTCATCACCCCTGCCGGAGGGTGCGTGTGCATCGAAGGGCACCTTGCTTTCGATGCGACATGGATGCAGCAATTGCTGGCAGGTATTCCCATGTCGGATCGTGTCAGACAGGCATCTTCACGGGAATCGACGCAATCCTCATGCACGCCTGCAGAGACGACGACCCAAAGTTCGAGATGATGAAGGAAGCCGCTGGACAGGACGCCAATGACGAGAAGGAGGGGGTCGGTGTGAAGATCAAGAAGGTAGGGGAAGAGTTGGAATCAGCTCAATGGGCATTATGTCGAGTATATTTTAGGAGGAATGCTCGCAATAGTGAGGTTCTAGGATACGAGGGTCCTCGATCTTGTGTGGGCAGGAGCATATGTGATCATATTTGGTGTTTGCTCGCTACACGACCACATAATCCTCTCACACTCAACTCATCCCCAGGAGGTTGCAAAGGCAGTTCACACTGTTGAGAAGGCTATCCCTGGAACGAAGGAGCACAGGGTGCGTTTGAATTGCTAGCAAGGGGGTTGATGGGGTGTATGGGGGAGGACACAAGATCTTTGGCTTATGGATGAATATTTCTGGGAATGTATGATGCCCCATGGTATGCGACTTTGTGTGACAATCACCTGAACATGGCGTTGTCCGGAGGTTTTGCTTGGCTGGGGCAGTTTCACAGCAGGGATTGTCCCTGACAACCCCCAACTGCATGCATCCTCTACCAGGAAAACTCAGTAAGCTCATGAGGTGGGGAGCTTCCACGCAGGCCCAAGAATCGAGCTTTCGTGATAGCTAGTCGCCATGTCTGCTTGACTTCTTGGCGCTGCAGCCTCTACGATTGTAAAATATACAGTGTGGTGACTTGATAGTAAAAGTTCTTCTGTTCGAATGGCGGTTCGTGTAATACACTGTGTGCACAGCATCATGAGCTTCAGGTGTATGACTGGTATTAGAGACTCAGCGATCTAGATATCCAGTGCTTGTGCCAAGGGAGATGAGCTACAGTGGAGCTGGGTATCGATCAAAGCATCAATTTCGATGCCAAAGCACCTATCCCCACACCCCATTCTTCCAATATGAAGTTTACCCCCCACCTCTCCCAGCCTCCCAATGCTTCCCTCACTCTCATCCAACCACCTCCAAAGTGTGGGTTGATAGACATGCAGGAGCTCAGATGTCATGTGCTGCATCTCATTGCACAAAATCGCAGCATCATCATCATGCAGGGTGGAGGTACCATTTCACAGGGGGTAGGTGGCGAGGAGCGATACACTCCCAGCAACATTGCTCAGGATCAGTGTCACGCAATCGCACACGCTCAGTACCGGCCCTCGAAGGCCTTCTTTTCCTTGTTCTCGGCCGTGCCAGGGATGGCAGCCTTCACCTTCTCAAACACCTGGCCCAGCTTGGACTGGCCACCCTCGTCATGACCCCTCTCCCCGGCGGATCCGTGGGTAACCTCATTGTCATACCCGGCGCCGGCGCCGTGGTACCCGGCTTCGCGGTTGCCCGACCCGGCGCCTAGGTCGTCATGGCCGTGGGTTGCGGCGGTGCGGGTGTACCCCGCCCCGCTGCCGGCACCCTCGTGGTGCAGGTGGCCGCCGTGCACGGGGGCTTCGTTGCGCTGGTAGCCGGCGCCGCCGGTGCCGGCGGCGAGGTCAGCCTCGCCGCGGATGCCCTCGTAGGGGCGGCCACCCTCCTGCGTCAGCTTGTGCTCCTGGGTGCCGGGGATCTTGGCCTTGACGCCGTGCAGGGCCGACTCGGCCTTGGCGCCCACGCCGCTCTTGTGCGCGTCGGTGGCGCCGTAGACCGGGTCGGAGGCGACGTGGCTGGCGCGCTGGTGGCCGTGCTCCTGGCCGCCGACATGGCCCTGCCCCAAGCCATAGCCCTGGCCCGCGCCGTAGCCCTGGCCCGCGCTGTAGCCCTGGCCCGCGCCGTAGCCGGCGTCCGTGTCACGGACGTAGCCCTGCTCGGTGTGGGTGTGGTGCTCGTGTCCGTGGGTCGCCTTGTACGCCTCAGTACCAGGGATCTGCGAGGACAGGGGGCACGGAGGGGCGGGGTGGAGCTTTTTGAGATGGCTTCACCACTCTCAAGACAAACTGTATTGATAGAGGTATGAGAGGGCATGTCATGCTGATGAGGGGCAGGTCGTGACAGCCCAGCCGCTCTGCATCTCCACCACTCCATTCATGCCGGACCGGAACTGACCTTCTCCTTCAGGTTGTCGAGGCCGCTGCCTCCCGAGCTCCGGTGCTCTGAGGAGAGGGACGAAGAAGAAATCTTGGTGATGCTTTGTTTCACAATCAGGTGCAGGGACTTCACCCGTGCGATGATCTGTCCGCTGCACGCGTCGGCGGACGGCCTTGGACAGGCGATGGCGAGATCAATTCCGACGGATTTCCGGAACCCCTGTTGACCTCGGCAATCCAGCAAATGTGCGTGCTGGCACAACCTCGCACCCGTCAACGCGCTGGAACCCAATAGTTCCGGCATGCTCTCACCCTTGTCGTAGGTCTCGGTGTGGACTTGGTTGTAGCCACCCACACCGGTGTTGTCATCGTTGCGTCCGTACCCCGACATGCTGTCGAATCAGTGACTCTGGTTTCGAAGAGGCGATAAGGGAACTGGGTGCGTTCAAATGTTGCGAATCGATGAGTATTGGATGGGAATTTAGGAAGCTGTAGCGGGTTTTGGCACTTTATCTCGGACATCCACGCGTTTGGGCAGCGACAACGAATCTGGGCAAGGGGATTTTGCCAGTCGGACGAGTGGTCCGTCCTCGCCACGTGAGAGATAATTATTCGGGGAGTGCCTGCTATTGTCCAGTGCAGGCCCGACGAGAAGTAGGACAGCAAAGATCAATTCTTTCAAGGGATTGCAATAGAATTTCTCATTACGAGGCGCCCATGCAGGCGCAGGCGTCGAGGCGATGCCAAAGGTGCCAGCATGGTGCAGAACAGACAGCTTATAGATACTGATGGATTCATCGTCTACGATAGTTCTGCCAAAGTAACCTGCATGCCATGCCCCTTGCGCCACATCCTGAGATCCGAAGCCATGTACTCTTTTGGAGGACAATTAATACTTCAGTTTGTCATCAGCTGGTATCGCTCACGACAGGCACACTTTCGCAGCCAAGATCTTACTTCAAGGCTTGTGGAAATCGCAAAATTACTTCATCTACGTGCTCCTTATGTGCTCCGATACTCATTCACGAACCCTGGCTCGTCCGGCGGCATTAACCTCTTTGCCAGTGTGACTGATGACAAGAGCGCGGGAACTGCAAATAATCGCCAGGTTGCGACAGATGCTGAGAAGCGCACCAGGACACGATTGCCTTGCCTATAGTGATTAGAAACCTTATGCCGTACATATTGCACCTAGAACGCCCTCGTCATGATGCTCGGACCTCACTCGCGACCGGCCTGCCTTGGCTAACCACCCTTTCGTAAACCCGCCCCGCACAACGACCGGGATCCAGATCCGCGATCGCACTTTTAACATCAGCAAAAATGAATGCGAAACGGTGCAATACAGATACTCCGGAGTAGGAGACGCAGCCCGGGACAAGCCACATCCTGCTGGATGCTTGCCTTGGGAGTCGGTGGAGTGCTTGCCCTCCTGGCTGCCCTGTCCTGGCAGCGCTCTCGGGCAGCAGCAGACGCCGCAGCTTCGGACACCGAGGAGTGTAAAGTGGATGGAAGGACCTCACGGATTGTGTCTGACGACACGGTCGACCCTGGCGCCCTGACCCCTCCCCACGCCCGCCTGGCTCGCGCAATCAGCCAGCACCTGTCCCCTAGCAAGAGCCGGCACAGGCCTCTGCTGGGCCAGGAACTCTGGGACGGGGGCTCGGAGGGCGCCAGCGACCCCGACATGAGCGCCCACCTCGACTCTGTCCTCCTGGATGAGTCGGCCAGCGAGTTGCACCTGACCTCCGTGGACCCCCTCCAGCGCGTCGGCCGAGGCGCCAGCGGGTGAGCTCCGGCGCTGGGCTGTTGTTTTTCGCGGCATGAGGAAATGGAACCTGATTGCCGCAAATAACAAGGAAGGGGGTGCGGGTGTTGTGTCAGG